AAAACCTACTTTCGTACAATGTTTAGGTTAGGTTGCGGAGGCTGCACTTCGAACTTAAGAGGGCCGATGTGATACCGTTCGATTGGCTCGATATTGATTCCGACCATTTACCGAGAAATATAACCCATTATTTTGACAAAAAAAAACAACGCTTTAAGCTCTTTTTTTCCTTTATAAAATCCAAAATGTTGAAAATTTAAAAAACGAAAAAAATATTTTATATTTAAAATAAACCGGCAACTATTTCAAAGAAAAAATACTTCATTATGTTTACGAAATTTTTCCTTTGGTAATCATAGATGATTTGATAACTTTTAAAATACTAGGATAAGCTATGTAGGAAGCTTTAAAGAATATTTTCGATCCATATAAATTGTATTTTATATTTTTCGCTGGGGTTTGCAGATTTGCAGAACATACCCTGAGTATGATATCCTGAGATTTCCAGCAATTAAAAAAAAAAACCTTTATATTTAAGTTTAGGTGGCAACACGTACAGAGGTTGAAAAATGTATAGCGGCACGAAATTTTACCAAGTTTTGGTTATTTTGCCTCAGTTTATTTGGTGTTTCTTATTGTTTTATTAAAGTATGGCTCACTATCTACCAAAACCCATGTAATTCCGAATTTCAAACTTTGTAAAAAAATTTGGAAATTTCGACAAAGTATGTTCGACAATTTTTTTATATGGAGGAAAATTCACAATACCATCCACAAAAAAAAATCCTAAATGAACTATAAGTTCTAGTTACTTCAAACTTTTTTAAAAAATTCCGAATAAAAAGTGATGCACATTTGTTGAAATAGGTGAAATTTTTACAAACCTTGCACATAGTAAATTTAAATTTACGTGATTTTGGTTGAATGGTAAGCTATTATTTTATAAAAAAAACTATAAACATTAAATAAATAAAAAAAAAGTAGCCAAACTTTTAAAATTTCAGAGTACATTTCGCACACCGTCTTCAACTCACAAAAATATTTGCGTAAATCAATTCGTAGGAATTATCTCCAATTAATGCAAATATATTTTTCTACGTGTTGAATCTGTACGATCCACAAGCAGTTATATGTTTGAGTTGTGCCTCTTTTGAAGATTATGTGCGAAAACCACTTTTAATAATCACTCATACGCCCCTGCAACACCGACTAACCCACCAACACCAACAATTTCCTTTTGTTTTGGCCTCTTTAACTGCCTGTTTATGTTTTCTTGCAGCTCATCATTGCGCGATTTGTATTTTGTTTATATTTTTTATTGCTTTTTGTTTTGGTATGTTTTTCGCCAACTTTTAGAATACCTATCGTACGTTTTCAGTCGTATACAAATGTATGCATGCATTGGGCTTGTATGTATGTATATTTAGTATATCTCACAAACAAATTCTAATCGTTGCGGATGTACATGAATATACATATATGTATGTATGCACATAACTACACGAATAGCAAGAACATTTCTAAGAAAAAGTATGCCTTCATGAACACAATAAATTTAGTACATACATATATACATATATATACATACATATATGTATTTTCATTAGGGCGAAAACATTTCGTACAAGTAAATAAAACATACGTATGTGCATACATTAGGGTGGTTCAAAATAAGTAAAGTCGGAAAAAGTATACCCCTGTTTTTTTGTTTTGAAATCAAAAAATATTTAGAGATCGCCCAAAGCGCTCCAACTTTTCGATGTATTTTGTATGGGAAAAAACAACTTTTCGTGGAAATGGTATGGAATTCTTGAAAATCAATATTTTCCGATAGAACAATTCTAAGGGGTGAGAGCATAAAAATTCCGAATTTACTTTTTTTTTTTTTTACATGCATTTTCGGACCACCCTAATGTACATACATATATGAATATGTAGTCGAATGATAATGCAAAAAATAATTCCTAATTTTAACATACGAATTCTTTTTGTTGTGGTTGGATTTTAACGACGAAGCGAGAAAATGATGCATTATTCTTAAACCAAGTGGAATCAATTTCTCAACCAGGCAAAAAGTCTGGGGATCTGACATTCTATGTGCGGAAGTTGAAGAGTTGTTTATATAAAATTGAAAGTTAAGTTCTGATGGGGCAATCGTGATTTATTTACTAGATAAACTCTTCGCTTGCTGTGACTTATGTTCGACCGTAGAATAGAAATTGCTCATTTAACATCAAATAAGAAATGACCAAAGTAGCTGGCCCGTTATTTGCTCGTTCAATGAAAACTTATTTCTGATAAGGTCTCTTAAATTCTCTATTCGAAACGTTCTGTAATGTTGACTTAATGGAAGTAACAAAATTTTGCGTCACAGTAGTATTTGTATGCTTTTCCAACAAGTTTCTTTATTCTCAATCTTCTTTGTTCGGCGCAATGCAATTTGTTGCTTTTCTAGTATTCCATTTGTATTTATTAGCAAATCGCCCTGTTATTTTCCATGGCATGACTTTGATAAAGTCATAAGTAATGACGACATCTCCAACAACATTAACCCCAACACAATAGGCAATGTGACCGGTTAGTTAATAAACAATTAAACAGTGTATGGCATTTTGCATTAAAACTCTTTTTCTAAGCCGATGCGCACTTGCCATAATAGCGCAAATGTATTGCTTATGTTCGTAATGTTTCTCCTCTTAAATCCGTTTTAAATAAATTAATACAATATGGGTATCAATCGTAATGTTTTTGAAAAGGGTTTTAGTTCTAAACTACATGAAGGAGGGTTGCCAACTGTTTGAAAAATCAAATTCTAATTGAATTTAGGAAATTAGGTCTTTTTTAGTTTGAAAATATTTTGGAGAGGGTTGCCACCTGTTTTAACAGTCGAATTGATTTTATACTCAAATTAAGGTGTCAAACGTAAGAGTGTTAAGAAATGTTCAGCTTGAACATGTAGAATTCTCTGAGGTATCTTAGAAGGGTTACCACCTGTTTTAAACCTAATTTCAAATACAATTATATTATAAGTTAAATGAGTTATTACAATATAGGTATTGATCGAAAGAATCTTGGCTTTATTTCTAAGCCACATATCTCTAGCAGGGTTTCCACATACATATTTGAAAATTAAAATTCAACTTGAGTTATAGGAATTAGGTAATATGAATACGTATGTATGTATCACAATATGAGTGTCAGATGAAAGCGGTTTAAAAAGGTTGCCAACTATTTAAAAGCTTAAATTATAAATATTCAACGAAGTATTACAATAAGGGGTATCAATCGTAATGGGTTCGAAAGGGCTTCATTTCTGAACTAAGGGGGTTGTCACTTCTTTTAAACCTCAAATTGAATTCAGGGACTAAGTTATTTCACAATAGAGAGGTTTAGAAAACTGTAATTTGAAAATATATATAGAATATAGAATAAATGTACCGCTATAAGCTAGCGATATTCAGTCGACATGTCAAATATACATAGTACTGTATATGTATGTGTGTATGTGGATGTAGCTAATTTCATACTAAACAATTACTTTGCATTATTCAATGAGACAAATAAATAACCATAATGATGATATAGCACATCAATTCGTTATATTCGTTACATACCTACGAGTGCATACTACGTATGTATGTACATACGATTTTTTGTATATCAGTGAAGTATTGCTAAAGCGTAGTTTAACTAATTGCACAACTGCCAATGGGTTTTATTTGCAAACAAGTACGAGTTGTTAAGTTTAAAAAGCAAGTCGAGACAAAAAAAATGTTAAAATGTTTGCGTGTAAGTTTTCTGTGCGTTTAAAAAACTAGCAAAGGCCTCCCACAGCAGCTCATTTAGTACAAAAGCAGGCATAATCTGGTACGTCAGACCAAATGACGCAGTTCGGAATTTAAGTTTCATCTCTGCGTGCATAAATTATTCACAATTTCCACCAAACTAATGGCATTGACATTGACGCCACTCACTGCTTTAACTTTCTTGTGCGGCGTAAGTTATTCCTACGGCCAGCAAGCATCCTACTCGATTTTATACATTTTCTTGGGCGAATGTGACGAATGCAGCCAATATGGTACCCATTTTAAGTTATGTACATATTCGTAGGTGTCAGCAATGTTTTTTTTTGTAATAAAAGCAGCACTCAAAGCATTTCGAATTTATTCCAGTGGTGTATATGTATAGTAAAAAGATTCATTATCCCACTACCGCTCCCATTAGTTTGGCACCAACTTATATCCGAGTATTTCACCCCACGCTTTTATACAAATACGCAAAATGATTTTAACGAGCGAGTTAAAGTATTAAGGATGTTTAAAATTATATTATTTTATTATATCAATATTCTAGTTAACTGCTCCCAGAGATATGCGTCATGAGAATTTAAGGTTATATCGACACCTGAGTGGAAGAGCGACATTGAAAATATGCTCAGATAGGGCGTTTTTGAATCGGCAGCTGAGAGAGGGCGTTCCTCAACCAAATTCCGATATAGGGTGTTTTTAAATGAAATTCTGAAGTAGATCGCTCTTGAAAACTTTTCTGAGATAGGGCGTTTTCGAACTGGCTGCCGAGATAGGTCGATTTTCCACTCAAGTATCGATTTGGGACGCGCCCCGTTTCCTTTACCATCAACTCAATTTTTTTCTGTCAGAGATTTGTATGGGAGAGACCATGGAACCTTTTCCAAAAACTTTCCCTTTCCTATAACCCCCCAACAAATTTTCTCTGTGTTATTGCAGTATATCCCATTTCAGCGCAAGTCAGATCTGAAACATTCTTACTTAACTAAGGGTTCTATACTTGTGATTTCATATTCTAGAATCCCGGAACCATAGTTATGATTCCTCATACAAATATGGTGGGTACCAGATATTCACATATGCAAATTAGTTTTGAGACTTCCTTGTACTATGCGTCGATCTTGGACTTCTAAAAAAATGTCCTACCAAAACGACTTTCGGTTGTTTTCGAAGATGTAAGGCGCTCGATTTATAAAGAAAAAACGGAATTTCAATGTAACGAATACTGCAATCTCAATACATGCTCGATTCTATCGACTCGTTTTTAATATGCAGTGAGGAAAAAATCATCAAGGTCACACTTATTTTCGTCTTATTTAATTCATTTGTACAACAATTTACAATTTCATAAACGTACGCTAAACCCCACTATGCTGCCGCATCCACTCGCGCGCATACTGCACACGCGAGTACACACCGGGGTATTCCGGTCTGGCACAACCATAACCCCACGACACCACACCCACCAGCACACCATCTTTGTTGGTCAGCGGACCACCCGAGTCACCTTGGCAAGCGTCTTTGCCACCTTCGAGGTATCCAGCGCAAATCATACGCTCTGTAACGCCACCAAATTGTTTGTACTTCTCGGAACAGAGATCCTGATTGAAGATCGGCACCTCAGCCTGACGCAACCATTGCCGTGATTCGCTCTCATTCTGCGTATTACCCCAGCCGGTCACATAGCAAATATCGCCATCCATGAATTCGTCGCTCGCTCCCGGCAACTTGACTGACTTTTTATTCTCCGAGAATTGGATCTCCTTATCGAGACGCAGCAAAGAGAAATCGTAATCCACATTGGAGTAATTGAACTTTTCATGCTGTACAATTTCGTTGACGCGCAGCAATTGTCCACCGCTAGAAGCTTCCGAAGAACCGATGCGTACCTTTAGTTTGTCGGCGGTTTTTCCGCTGAAAGAGGTGGAGATTAAAGTAGATAAGGATGAGATGCATAAAAACTAAGGAACTTACGCAGTACAATGAGCGGCCGTAAGTACCCAGCGAGGCTAAGCGGAAAGAAAGAGAAGAGTTTACTAACACAATGAAGTAAGTTAGGTATGGGGGTGCCTTTATAGAGACAACCTCGAAAGTATCCATATATTTCATATATTACGAGATCACACCCTAGATTTACCAAGCCTGGTCGCCGTAATGTTCGGCGAAGTGTGCGTCTTCTTCTGCTAAAAACAATGCGCCTTTTCTGCTAACTTACCGCTATAATCGAACCTCCACATATGTGTCCACCGCTTGTCTGTAGTGAAATCTGGTGTGGCGCATCGGTAATATTTACTTTGTAGCCACCAACAATGCGTCCATCCAGGCGTGGCCGCGGTAAGATAACATCGGAGGGTAAGGCTGCGTCGTCCATACGCGCCGTATTCACTTTTTGTCCTCTCAGTGGCTGTGGAATGATGCATGCTGCAAGGAATAACATGAAAAGAGACGGGGGTTAACAATTTGAAATCCAAGTTTGTTGGAAAAATGGCATGGTTTTACTTCTGGAAGTTCTCAAACGAACCATAATAAGCTTAGCTCTAGAACCCAAACACTTTAAATCAGAACCTGACGCTAGGAACTTTTGGATTCTTACACACAAAGCTTAATAGTTCTCATGAACACTCTTCCTCCAGATTTGAGAGTATATTTTTTAAAGCCTATAGACCAAATAAAATTGGATGTTCAAACTGCATACTTCAGTAACTAGGCAGGAGAAGGCACGCGTCTTGTATGCTAGTTGGGTGGTGGATGAACTTTGGTAGCGGTATTTACGAAATATTGGATCTCGTCCATGAGCTCTCGAATATGTCTTCTGGTGGTCAAATGCACCCTACTGTGGTAACCGAGCAGACACTCCGCATGCTGGGCACTCGTCGGGCACATCTGAGTTCACTCTGATCAGATAAGAGTTAAGCTTTCTGCAATAGCCAGAGCGAAGTTGTGCTATTGTGGTGCGAGTATCCCGAGGCAGACAAAGCTCTGTCCCGTCCACGTCGGGTGGTTGTGTACCCAAAACGGCATTTACAGGTCAGGAATCGATGTAAGTTGAGACCGACTCCCTGTGAATACCATTTATGGCCTGTCGGTATGCTGTCGGGTCCAGAGGTTGTTTTATGAACCCCTTTGAACCTTTCCGCCAATACACTCGCATATTCTCAACAACGTTTTTTCATCCGAGTACTGCGTAAGAGCGATTTGAAGACTTTTTTTTGGTGCGGCAAAAGGGGGCAACTCTTAAAGGTGACACGGGATTTTTAACCGTCAGAAACTGTGTGCAATTCGTGTGGGTTCCTTTGACAGCTTGCCCTCTTTTGTTTTGATATTAATCAAGGTAACTTTACAGTGAAAAAGCGAGCTGGATCGGAGAGGTAGCTGCTTGCTTTCGAACTCAGGTCATCCGTCTCCTTTGGCGAACCACAACATGAGATATCGTCACAATGCATGAATCTTCATCATGTGGCTGAGGGGCTCCAATATAACTAAAATAAAAGCTGCCAGAAATATAGTATCCTCAGGGACGTTCTAATTTCCACTTTAATTTGCATTGAGTAATTAAGAATCCAAGTCGGCATTTGATAAATTTGCATGCTCCCAGAACCCAAGTATGATAAGATTCCGAGGCGAAACGTTGTTGAGGATTTTTATAGTTGTATTGTGGAACGATTTTCCGTCATCCCTTGTCCGGTTTCGGCGTTGTGCCATCTTCAGTTTCATTTTACGTTCCATGAAACCGGTTTGTCTCCAAACCAAATTTGACAAGGGATGATGGAAAAACGTTCCACAATACATCATACCCTGTCGGAAACACAAACAACCAAAAATAAATTTTTATAGTTCTTTCGAATTTGGAATCTCCGAACAAACTGTATTGGTAAAAGTACAATCCAAGACTTTTGCCAGCAAGGCGACTTTTTGAATTATCTTCACTGAATGTACTTCTATAAGTCATGAACTTCAATGAAGACTCAACACTTCGGCTTTCCAATTAAACCAGATTATTTCCCATATTTTTTACAATAACAATGGTTTACTAGTTTTAAAAAAAATATTAAAAAAAAATAGTTCTCCGTAAATAGTTAAAAAAAAAAACAGAAAAAAATATTCAACACACCTCCAGCTCGCACTTCCTGCATTAATCCACATAATACCAAAACGGTAACAGCTAAACAATATGACTTAGTTCCCGACATAATATTAATCTTCTGCATAAAAAACTCCGAACACCGAACTCACTCCACATACGTCAACAACTCCGCACGGAAATCCAAGAAAAACTGTGCCTTATCAAGAAACTTGTTGCACCTTATATAGCGCGCATAGCTGCAATAGCCGCCCCTCAAATCTAGACCACATTTCTATTAAATGGTGTTTTCTTTTTTTTTAATTGTGCACGCAACAATCTTGACCGCCCAGGGTTTTATAGCATACTCTATGTACATATGCGCACCGAATATATAGAACATTGTGATATGATTTCAACGAGCAGCGCTTGACTCGAATGGCATACATAGTTAGTTAAACCATTGTGTTGGTACTGCAAATCAAAATGAGGCCAATAAAACAGAAGCGCAGACAATTCGCACCCGCAAGCTTGAGTGGCTTAGATGCACCACTCGAAAAGTAGTGAGGTGTCCAATTGTTGTACGCAGTTACATGCAGACAAATGTATGTATGTTCTTCTTTAGCATTGTGTGCTTTTGTGGTGTTTGCAAAGTTTTAAAGGAGCTGATATGACACAGATAATCTAACTGGTTTTTACAAGTGAAAATGAAAGCACTTTGCGATGAGCACTGTGTCAATAAAACCACAAAAGTTGTAAATTAAGCAAATAGTTTGTATATCTAACATAAAAACCTCTGTTGTAGGGTTGTATATACGTGCGCGCATATGGTATCTTGAGCACATTTGTTGCACGGCGCCTAGTCGTGGCCAATCTGATTTATCAACCACGCAATAGATTTATTTATATACGTTAATGTTCTGGCCGTTAACTTCTAGCAACCACGCCTCAAAAGGTTGCCGGCATAAATGCAAATATGATGTTTTTTTTAGCTGTACCAACTTTTTATTTATACATAGGACGTAACTCAGTAACCTTTTACATGCTCAGCAAATCTTTTGTTGTGAAATTCCGAATTCTTTAAATAATTATAAATTATTGTAAATTAATTTATTTAAATAAATTAATAATTTTTTTTTTAATATCTTAATGGGGCAAACTAATCAACCACATAGATGAATTGGCGACCAACTTCGACAACTTTGTCATCGACTTTCAATGAAACCTGCTTCTTCTCTACATCTAATGAAAATTCGCCCTCGGTCAATGGAGTCTTGCCGGTTTTGTAATCTTGGAATAATGGAATTTGGCGTGGTCCAAGCGCTGGATCATCATAGCGCCAAATTTTGAGAGTTGACAGGTCAGCTGCGAATGCAAAAAAAAATACATATTATGGATACATATAAAATCCGCTGGCAAAAAATGTTATCAATAAGATTTTAGATAAAAAAGAAAATAGATTAAATAAATTTGTTTATGGAGCGCTTAGTCGTTTATAATTCATTAAATGACTGCACACACCTTTAAAGTTTATCAACTTTGCCAGTTTTTCAATCAACTGCTTTACCGTGTCGCCTTCACAAATGACTGTGTTTACTTGAAACAATCCGGAACGCTCAACTGGATTTACCAGTTCGACTGTTACATTCGGCGCTATCATAAACGCAATGAAAGGTGAGCCAGGACGCACCTCTTCACGCGTCTTCTCTGGTGCACTGGGATCGTCGGTGTATTTAACTTCTAAGTCATCCACCTAAGGAACAGAAAAATAGTCAATTAATATTCTTCTGTAGCTTAACATTTCCCAACACCAACACCTACATCTAATGTATTTTTCAGATAGTCCAGATTGTTAAGCAGCACTTGTCGCTCGTCGAATTCCAAATTGATGGCGAGCGCATCAACACCTTTGCCACTTTCCACTTTCTCGCGTATCATTTGCGCGAAGGGCATTACACGCTTCATGAACTTCTTTAGCTGCTCCTTTTGCTGCAGCGTTGCAGCAATAATTTTATTATCCGGAAACTTGCCATCTTTACTGTACAACTCACGCAGCGTGTCGAGCACACAACACTGCCATGGTGGGTATGTTTTGGCCACCCAGACTAATGCGCGATCCGGCTTGACACTTGCCGGGTCCACCGCCTTCTCCTTGCCACCCTTGCCCTTGACATGAAGTAAATTCTTCAGATTGAGTCGGAACGAATGCGCCGCTTCCATCAAATACTCAGATCGTTTAATATCAATCTCATTGATTTCGCCTACGCTAGGCCAGCGCGCGTGTACTATGGACTGCTTATTGCCTAGCAGGCCCCACACATAGTCGGCAACATGTGGACAAATGGGCGCCACAAGAAGTGCTTGGCGGCGTATAAACTCCAGCACCAACTGCTCATGCATACCTTGCGCCCCAGACAGCTCGCGATATTTGTCACGAGCTAGTTGCAGCTCATAGAAACCAGTGCGCAGCGCTTCTTTGAACAACATTTTGCGATAATTCTCGTCGGTTTCGCGCGTCTTCAGATTCATTTCACTGATGAACACCTTGTCGTTGAAAGTGTCCGGTTCGCCCTTACGGAGCAATGCACGTGAAGCTAGCATCTCTTTCACCCACTCAATAAATGTGTACAGCCGAAGAATACCAGCATCGGCAGTGCTTACAACGAAGTTGGCATCTTCTACGCCGTCGCCGGAGTCGGCCAGGCAAAGTCGCGTACCATCAGCAGAAAATTTCTCAACGGCTTCGTAGAGTGTAAGAAAATTGCCATCAGACTTGGACATTTTGGCGGAATTTAGTAGTAGATGGCCATTGACTCGGGTACCCATAGGCCACTTGTCTTCGTTATTTGGCCAAATGGCAGCGTGGTTGTAGAGCATAAATGTAAGATGGTTATTAATCAAATCCTTGCCGCTGACACGTATGTCCATAGGATACCAGTACTCGAATTCGCGACGCAAAATGTCTAGCGATTCTTTCTTTACCGGCAGTTTATCGGAATAGGGAGTTTCGTTGAAGAAAATGTAATCCCACACGTCGGGTGTCATATCTTTGGCGGTAATGCCTTAAAAGTGAGTAAAATATACATTTAATATAACAAACAATAAACTAAGCCAAATTCGACTAGACTTAAGCAAGTGCTGCATCTTCCATAGGGACTTCGTCTGATATTCCCTACTCATGCAACTGCTGATTCTTACCTAGTGGACTCGGTATTTCGCCTCTAAAGGATCCGGCTTGCAGAAGGTGCACAACTGTGTAGAAAGCCATATAAATTGTGGAATCGGATAGCGATTCAATAAGCCACTGTTGGTCCCACGGCAGCTTTGTGCCAAGCCCATAAGTTCGAGAGCAGGCGTATTCGTGCAACCAATTCAAGCATGCTTCGAAGTTATTGCGCGCCTCTTCGTGGTATACCTCCATGCCATCCAGCATCTTCTTGGTTTCCGCTTGCCACACAGGCTCGCCGTAGTTCAAATACCATTGATTGCAAAGTGCCACTACACACTGATCGCCAGAACGGGAAAGAATTAGTTTTTCTGGTTCATAATAGATTTCTGCTTCATTCGCGGCTACAAGTTTTTTCTGTAAATCTTTCTTTATATCCTGCACTTTGCGTCCAGCGAATTCACCAACCAAAAGTACGCCATCGTAAAATCCTTAATAAAATTATAAAATTATGCATTACTTTATACGTAAAGTGGTATATCGAGGTGTACCTTTCAAGTAGCAAAGCTCCTTCGCTTCAGCCAATTTGTCTTTGTCATTCTGGGACTGTATTTTAAATTTTTCATAGGCGTAGATAGCACATGTGTTTCCCAACGTGGGCACCTCTATGATAGGCACGGGCGTAAAAGGTAGTACCATCTCATCCTTGATGTTGTACTTTTGACGGAATGCTTCTTTTTTCTGCAAATCTACTAAGGCCGCATAATCATCAGGCGAATCGGAAGGCACAGACGTCACAACCCCAGTGCCCTTATCTTCTTTAATCGACAACATTGGCAAAGTGTAGATAACTTTGTGTGATGTCATTGGCGCAGCAAGCGGTGTGCCCAACAAATCCTGACCAGTCAGCTCGGCGATCTCTCTCACCTTTCCTTCTTCGGCACTAAAGCCCTGGTAGGACATATTTCGCGCTGCGCGACGTGTGCTTATCCACACCTCATTTGAGCGTGATGTTTGCCAGGCAATGTACTTAATATCAGGATGCAACCAACAGTTTGTCTGGCCATACATAGTTTCTGGGCGGAGCGTGGCGGCCACCATATAAATAAGTGCATTAACTCCACTGAAATGGTTTCAGTTTGTTTTTAGTAATGTTGGAATTTTCATTGAAATATTAATCATCTACCTCAGCTTTGCTGGCTTTGCAAGCAACTTCATTTTAATCAAGGTGTATTCTTGTGGGCCTACCCCCTCGCCCGTTGAACGGTCATGATCCATGCAAGGTTGACCATCTTTTGGTGAGTAAATGGTGTAACGCTTACCGTACATCACTTTGCCGCGATTTTTTAGATGGAGAAATTGCCAACGTACAAATGAATCGTAATAGGGATTCGCATCAGTCGTGATGAAAGTGCGCCGAAAGTCTACCTACAAAAAAAAATTTTCGCTAAATGCTTTAAGAATTATGTGTTAAGTTTTTAACTTACATGAAGGCCTAGACTTTTTAGATCCTTGATAGCCAGAGGCGGAAAATAGTTCAACCAGTATTCTGCTTCTGCGAAATTCTTTATCTCCTCGTCTTTCAACCCAAGACTTTGCATAATCTGCCACTGATATTTGGCGGCAGCTGTTTTGGCAACTGCCTTGCTCTTCTTACCCTTGGATTTGTCTTTTGGCACTTCGCCTTGTTCCGGCTCTACGGGAACATTTGAGTTTTCTTCCACCGGAAATTTAGGCGGATAGCCAAAGTCTTGCAATTCTCGTTTCAACTTATCGGCGCATGCTTTAATAGGCATGCCAGTGCAGTGAAAACCAAATGGCCAAAGCACACGTCGTCCCTTTAGCCGATGATAACGCATAGCAAATTCGGCTTTAGATAGCGAGAATGTATGACCCAAATGTAGGCGACCATTCATGTAGGGAAACGGAAAAGTGACAAAGAACTTCTCATCCAGACTTTGGCGTGGCTCAGCTGGCGCATCAGTTTCGTGTACATGTTCAGCTTCCCAGCGTTGCTGCATATCACGCTCAATTTGCTGAAGATACTCCACCTTAAAGGTACCCTTGCGTTCGATGTTTGCCTATAATTTAATACAGAGATTAGCAATTTGAATAAAACATGAATCACTGTGTGCATAGCTGTCCACGTTATTGCATCAGATTGCACTCGTGGCGTAGCAAAATGTGCAATCTACAGTAAAGGTGTTCCTGTTTGTACTGAAGGGATCGTTCGTATTTGCGGGAACTACGTACTTACCATTTCGTTTAATTTCTGTGTTGTTTTATTGGAATTGAATAAATACACACAAATACGCAAAGAAAATAGAAAACGCTAAACGAGCAGCAAAACTGCAATGTGTTCCCGGCAACAGCTGTTGAACTTGTGATGGCAAAGCATCGATGTCACTATCGATAGAATCGACTATCGATACTATCGATGATATTTTACATGGTATAAAGGGTATGTCAGATGAAACTACATAGCTTTGCTTGACATTTAAAGCGAAGCGCACATTGGCGCGATTCTGTCGATGCGAATCCGCAAGCCCAAAAATTACAACAATGCTACCCATACATTTTAATGCGCTAGCGCACACTTGCACGATTCCGTCGCTGCGAATTTTTCGAACATTCAATGTTCCTCTCTATTGACGCGTTCGAAACGCGGCTTGCAGCGTTTTGAAGGCGTCAAAGAAGAAGAAGAAAGGTGTCACAGCAATAAAGGCAAAGAAAAAAAAACGTGTAATGTACAAAAACTAATAAAAACGTTCGTAATAATAGTATTTTGTACGATTTGGGCACGCCGAGTGCGAAAATACACGAAATAAAGGGAAAATTGAGTGAATTGTACATCGGAAATCGACGCGAAAAAATCGCTCAAGTGTGCGCACGTTTGCGGATTCGAAGTTA